GACCCCAAAAAAAAAAAAAAAACTGATGTAGGGCATAGCAGGCAAATGTATACCAGTAAGTGGAACAAGAAAAAGTTATTTTAAAATAAAAGCTGAATAAGAAAATTTTTTCGCCTATATTATATTATGAAACCTGAGCTATATTGCTGAATAGAAACTTAATCTTTATTTATATTACTGTATTCATTAACTTTTCAACCAGTCGAGATATTTTATTTATTTATTATGAAAAAGTGACTGCCTTTTTTATTCTATTTCCTACAGTTACGATACGGTAGGGAAAATATCAGTGCAACGAATATCTTACAGTGATCTTTAACTCTGCAAAATATCTAGTTTAATATATTCTTAGCAAGTGCATACTAGGAAATGGCTCTAAACAAAAAGAATAAATACATCAGTGTAGAAAATATTGAGCGAGCATATAAAGCAACTATATAGAGATAATCGGGCAAGTGAATATTTAACAATATAGTTAATGTATACTTTTATCACATTTACAAAATGAATTTGGTTTTTTAATTAAAAACTAGAAAAACCTTTATAACAACCCCGCAGGTTCATTTTCCGTCCAACACTTGCCTAGCACCCTCATTTTCTTAAAGGAAAGCCATTTATCTATATTCTCTACACTAGTGTTATTTTAAGGACCAGTACCTTTGCCCTGAAAGCACTTGCCTAGTATTTCCTACATTACTATTTTGAGATTTAGTGTCATTATCACATCGGCAGGCGTTTTTCCTAATCTTTCCTTAGTGAGTAATTCGTGCCTCTCGCAAGGCTTAAATATAATACAACCCACTTTTTTTCTGAAATTGTAAGAAAATCTGTCTTCCCTGCTTTTTTTGTGCTAAAATTTATGGTAAAATAGTTTTCTATATGTACATATGCACTGAGTTGCCAAATTATTATGTCCACCCCCTCAATACCACCTTTAGCCCGTAATACAGCTCGAATTCTTCTTGACATAGATTCTATGAGATTTTGGTAGATGGAAAGAGGAAGTTGTCCCCGTATACGATGAACTTCATTTGTCAGCTCCGTCAAATTGGATGGCACTTGATCCTACTGTCCGATGTCCCATTCGTACTCATGCCACAAATTCTCAATTGGATTGATATCTGGTGATTGTGTGGGCATACGAAGCAATATAAAGTTAACGTCATGTTCTTCGAACCATCTGACGATAATAAGAGCTGTATGAATAAGAGCATTATCTTGCTGAAACTTTCAATCCCCGGCAGGGTCTACCATTAACATAACAGGATGTACTTGATATGCGAAAACACTTTAATACCCTTGGACATTTAGGCGTTATTCCACAGAAATCAAAGGAGCCATGCAATACCAAGAAAACATCCCCCCAACCATAGTATTGCCCTCATCAACTAGAAGTGTTGCGCAATGCAGTTGGGGTCCATGTTTTCGTGCTGTTTACGCCATATCCGATCCCTGCCATGTGCATATCGTATTTGAAAACGCAATTCATCAGACCACGTGACCGTTTTCCAGTTATCTACTGACCAATCATTATGCTCCCTTGCAGTATGGAAACATCCGCTATTGTTCAAGGCTGCCAGCAGAGGCTTTCGAACAGGTCGTCGGTTCCCGTAGCCTATACGGTGCAATGTGCTGAGTTAAATTTACTCAGAAACGTTTTCAGTTGCACCTCCATTAAGATTCCCTACTATTTGACGCTCTTCTGTTGGACTGGACAACTCTGGCAAATCTCCTTTCAGCTCGAGCGTTCATCAGCCTGTAACGACCACAAGACATACGTTGAGACCCGGTAGTCCATACACGTTTATAACTGCTGCTCTTGAACACTTCACAAAAGCTGCAGTTTTGCTGATATTGGTACCGACACTTCAAGCGCCTGCAATCACCCCGCATTCATAATAAGTTAACACTAGGTTTACGGACATTTCTTATATACCTATCCATACGAACATGCGCCAATTTGACGCTTGAACGAATACATATAGCAGTCCTCACAGAGATGCCAACTTGCTCTGGACATCAAATAGTATATATTTTAAAGTGGTAGCTTATTAATTGTTATTCTTGGTTTAATAAATTTAATTTGCTAGATATTATCCACCACTATTTCTAAATAATTCGTAGCCTTATATAATTCACCACTTTTAATAGGAACATTTATTTAGTAATTATTTGCAGTTTTCTTAAATATTTGGGCGTGTCTAGAGCAGTTGGAATCTCTGCACTTTGAAAGCAATGAAAATATGATATATATATTTATGAAATATTCTAGTATTTTATTTTTGAATACTCGAACTAAGCAACTGAAGCCTTCAAAATCTGACATCAATTGACATTCTGCGTTTGCTCTTGCTATTATTGGTTATCGGCAACAGTTATTTATCGTTTGTTTCATTTGAGATAACGGATCGAAGTATTGTCGGTACATTTCTATTTGATGTCATATTTGCATATTTACTTAAAATTTTGTCTATATTACGATCACGTCAAATTGATGTATATCCGTAGAAATAGGTATATCACAAAGAGAATTTCAACGCTTTTGAAGAAAATAGACTTCAATATATATTTACCTCGATTAATAGATAAAAGTCATTACAAAAAAAATAAAATTGCAAACGATTTTTGTAATTTTCCTTATAAAATTCGAAATGACGCGTCCCGTAAACCTAGTGTTAAGTCACATTTGTCTCCCTTATCTCCAAACTTAACACTGTGCTATTTATGGTTCACTTTCCTCTTTTGTAGCTTTCTCGCACTCTAGCGGCAACACTGTGAAGCATAGCTGATTTTGCATAAAACTGTCAAGTGGTCATAATAATTTAGGCACACAGTGGGTATATATATATACATACATATATTCAAAATATCTCCTTCATGTTTTTAGGACTTATCATGAGTTTTTTGGAAAGGACGTTTAATTATGACTCCTTATTATGAATTAAATCTCCTGAATCAATTGTTGTCACAATTTTTTAGAAATTATTTAGATGTCATTACAACGAAATGGTGATTTAAAAACGGTAACCGAATTGGTTGCAAATAGTAGAAAGTATTTGAAATATCTGACTATTTCGTATTTACCTTTTACTACAATAAAATGTTTGTTACTATATCGGAACAATCAAGAAAAGTTTTGTTTATGTTTTCTGTTGATTTTTTTTCGATAAAGCGAGTTCACATCACCTTCAATATCGCGAATATTTTTGTTAAGGTTTATTGTTCTTGAGAGCTCAACTGTTTTTGTGTGATTGTATAAATTTAACTTCTAAACATAATTAACGAGATGAGAAACAATTTTTCTTACCAGGTTTCTACGGCCCTGCTATTTGCTTGTTATGTATAACAGCATCTGGCTGTCGATTGGATATCATTGTAGTTTTTCTGGTAATTGCAATAGCTCTAGACGGTTCGGTTTATTCTGGCTTCAATGTCACCCATGTCGACATGAGTCCAGTTTTCTCAGGTAAGTTGCTTTTAGTAGCGCTTAATGTCTCTTAAGTCCCCTTAAAAGAAAATTTTTAAAAAAACTAAAGTCCTTTCTTTTAATGTCCTACCCTCCAATTATTTAAATATTTTTTTCCTTGGGCATTTTATTTTTTGCGTCGTTGAACAGCAGACCCAATTTTGGGTCTACGACTACTAATGCTCAACTCCATATCCTTGTAATTTTGAACCAATCCTGAAGACAAGGAAACTCCTGTATCAGTGCCCCCAGAGTTATTGACTTGTGAACATGGAGGACTTTGAGACTAGACAAATTTAACGTGCATCAATCACCATTTACTACACGCAAAGACTTCGGGAGGCGAGTATCGAACCCATGAACACTTGGACGTGGGCGCTGTGCCTTACCAACCAGGCTATCCTGGCCTTTTCTGAAGCATTAAACTGAATCAGAAAATTTAAAAAGAAACAGAACAACAGAAACAGAATAGAAAAGAACAGAAGTAAACCTTTTCATCGTACCTAAGTACAGTGCACAAAAAAACTAAGCACCCTGAATAACTTTCGATCTAAAGATCGAATCTTCATGTTTCATCATCACTCAATCTTAATGGTTTGAGGGGGAGTCTTCAAATATGATGACTAATAAAAGCAGAGGATATTTCAAAATACGAAATCAGTCATAAAAACGTACTTTCTCTTAAAAAAACATACTGTTTTTTCGACAGATTCGGTTAAGATCCTTACAACATAAGGAGTAGCAATCTGGAAAATATGATCCCCACAGTTCCCCATAGATCAAGAAAGCGACCCAAAATTTGGACCACTTAATGTTAATTTTACTTTTTGCTTAATTCGCCATCGTCATATTCGAGAGTTTTTTCAGAAAATTGGAAGAATTTATCACACCATTATAAAATTTGTTAATCCAGTCCTTTTAGAAACATTACCTTCCCAATTTTAATTTCACCGAATAAAATCCTTTTAAAAACTTTACCTTTCCGCTTTTAAATTCACCGATTAGAACCTTTTAGAAATTTTACCTTTCCAATTTTGAATTCACCAAATAGAGTCATTTTAGAAACATTACCATAGATGCCAACTGCTCCGCTGTTAGCAAATTGGTAGCGAATTAAATAGTAAAACGTGTAGAATGAGGATAATTACACCTACTTCTTAAAAGTGTCACTTTGATAACTGCAATATACTTTGATTTTTTGATATGCAGCTGTGGAGAGATAACTCAAAATGAACATTACTAAACTAAGTATAACTTAAATTTCGTTACCACTAGATAATACGTTTTTACGAACCAGAGCATGTTGGCATCTCTGCTACCTTTACAATTTTAAATTCACCTAATAAAGTTCTTTTAGAAACTTTACTTCCAGATATTCAGTTTTTCCTGGACGCTAGATTTTTGTCATAAAATATGTACTGAGAATACTTTAAATACAACTTTTTTACATGTTATGAAAAATTCATGGATGTATATATTTTTAACATTGATGTATGTATTGCATAATGTATTACAGGTTTTTTTGTATTGTAACTGAAATCTAATTTCACTTTTTAGGAACGTTATACGGTATTGCCAATGGATTCGGTTGCACATCTGGTTTTATAGGACCCATGATTGCTGCCATTTTCACATCTACTGGTGTAAGTATAATTAAATTACATTTTGCTAAATATCACAACTCTTATGTTGAAGAAAATAAATGTTTATGTAGAATGTTCCTAGTCTACTTTTAAATACTACATAAGTACAGAGTACTTAAAACATACATTATTCAACTCTATACTTGTTAGACCAAAAAGTTTATTAGGTTTAAAAATTAAGGCGATAAAAAGTTTATTTTAAGGAATCCCATCATTAACTTTTAGTAATATTCATACAGATTAAAATTCTCTCGATTCGGTTACCCGATTAGTACAACTTCTGACAAAATATGCTTGCTCTTGACATTGTTTCTCTTTTCGCAAATGACCGTATTTATAGTGCAACTGTCGTTGCTGTAGGCCATTAAGGCAAGGGGAGCGATTGTTCTTGTTTCCTAGCGGTGTCATCTATGGCCAAGAATTAAACTTCTGCCACACTCATACGTCACACCCACTTATAGGGAGGACCCATTCATACATCCATACATTCATCCACAGATCTTAATTTTGGCCTGAACCAGAGAACGATCAATCTCCTTTTGAGTACCCCCAGAAGTATAATTTGTCATAGGAACATGGGGGGATTTTTGATCCAACCGATTTAATGTCCACCAGTCACCATTTACTACACGGGGTGTCTTCGGCCTGCTGGGTTCAAATTACCGCTCTCACGAACGTGTGTATAGCGCCCTACCTGCCTGGCTATCCCGGCTCCCATCATAATCTGTTTTAATTACTATTAAAATATGGAATATTCAAAACATATTTTATTCTACCCTATACTTGTTAAACGAAAAATTTCATTAGGTTTAACAATCAAGGCGTTGAAAAGGTTAATTTAAGGAATTTCTCCGCTAACTTACAGTATTATCCATACAGATATAATTTCTCGTTTTTGTTGCCAGATTAGTACAACTTTTTCCATCTAAAAAAGTATGCTTGTGCTTGAATTTGTTTCTTTTTTCACTTATATCCCTATTTCTAGTGCTATTGATTGTTTTGTTAAAAACAACCTTTACAGTAATTTCGTTACTCTTTTAGTAATATGAAAAAAACTAGTTTTCTAATTTAATGACAGTTATTCGAATCTAGTGAATTTACCTATATCTATTGACAAAGAATAATATTGATCTAGACTGGAGAACAAATTTTAATTGCATTTATGCAAATACTTGATCTTAACTAATCTGGGTGCGGAAATTTCAAATCTTTTTGTTACCTATCTTAAGATCTCTATTCGGTATCTTAAGATCTTTTTGTTACATATTGTAAGATCTTTATCATGTATCCTAAGATCTTTATATCTTTTTGTTACATATTGTAAGATCTTTATCATATATCTTAAGATCTTTAGATCTTTTTGTTACATATTGTAAGATCTTTATCCGGTATCTTAAGATCTTTAGATCTTTTTATTCCCTCTCTTAGGATTTTTTGTTACCAATTATGGATTCAGATTGTCTCTACGGCTTTGCATTATTCGTCATGAAATTCTCACCAGCATTAACTTATATAAGCTGTTTCTGTTTTAAATTTCTTAAAATTGTGCGAACCCTGCTTTTATTGCTTCATTGAATCACACTTTTATGCCATTCGTTTGTAAATTTTTAAATTGTTCCACACTTATTCTGCTTTAATCATGTGAATTTCTAATAAAATGTTGTATTTCAGCCCAGTCTCTCTAATTGGAGCAACGTATTCTACATGACAGCGGGAGTGTACATATTCTGTGCGACAGTTTTTTTACTGTTTGGATCTGCAGAACTACAATCGTGGGGAACGAAGAAAATCGAGCTGGAGGAAGAATACAGTTTGGAAAACATTGTCATAAACACAAAAGTGAAGAGTGAATCAGAATTAATTCTCACAGTAAACACCGAAGACTTTAGGACTCCATTGTGATTCTTTGTGTCGTTAAATGTTTGACATTTATTCGCTTATACTGCAAAATATTCAGGAAACTTTTGGGATAAGTATTGCAGTATGTGATCCCTACAACAGCCATTCAACTTTCATGGTAAACTTTACGGGAAAAGTAAGGTGGATTCATAAGCAACCTTCGTCATTTTCCCGACATCCTCTCGACTAACTTTCTAACATAATTAATGTAGCTTTATAAAGTTGTGATATAAAGCCGTATATAGGACTATGCAGAAGCATGTCGACAGGCGACTATGAATTCTTGCGTTGACTTGCTTTTCACTCATATTTCTTTTTGGAAAAAAATGCCGACCTTAAATTTTTACCAAATATGCTTAGAAGTTGTTTTGCAATATAATGATTTGCATAAATGAAGGTATGCAGCTGATTTTATAATTAATATGTCCGTCATCAAAATTTAATGTTCATTCACAATATTTTTTTTATCCTCGCACAAATGCATACTAGAGAACAAAAAAAAAGATTATGAATTGCTAAATCACTTTACTCATGCTATTAGTTATTAGCTGGGATTAAAATTCTGCCAAACATATTTTTGCTCTACTGTGACGATAATATTCTAATACAATAGGAATGCCAATTGCTTCGCTTGTAGTAAAAAAAAATTTATTAAGTGGTATACAGATAAAGAAGTTTTTTGTTCAAAGGCTCCATCGTAATACGAAATTATACTTTTTTGCGAAAAATATGCTATTTTTATGATTGCTGTGAGTTTCTAACTGTTATTCATGTTTGTTAGGTCAAGTTTAGCCTATCGCTGTCTATGCCTATTTTGAAAATGGTGCAAAACTTCACTGTGGAGAAAAGCTACAGTTTTATGAAAATGAAAATCGTTTGTGGTCTCATTTTTCAATATTTAACAACTTACTCCAACGCTGCATTACTTGAGCTCATAAAAATTTACAAAAACTGTAAATAAGGCAGTTATTTTTGGTAATTTTCGTCTAAGTGGGAAAATGTCGCCAAATTGACGATTTTTAAAAAAAATATTTAATAAATTTTAAAAAAGTAAAATTATTTGTTCATTCTAAAGTTCAGATAACGGTTAGTTGATATGTATTGTGTAATATCATCGCATTGCTTCAAGAGTTAGGTACTTAAACTACGGCCTTTTTATTTTTCTTGGCGGCAGAGCTTCGAAAATCGCGTTAAAATGTTCATTAACAGTTTATTTAAAGATAATTTGGGAGAATTAAGAGATAGTTCGACGAGATAACTAGCATATAAGGCCACCCTGATAGATGTTGAAAAATTTCTTTCGACGATGTTGCTTTCACTGATGTGATGAAAATACTGGAGATGTTTAGAACAAATCGTTAATTATGCGTAGATGGCTAGTTATAAAAGATAAATACCACTATATTCTCAACTTTAATTGCAAGAAGAGTTTCAAAGTATTTTTGTTCTTACCAGCTAGGCAACCTCGATATCAGAAAAAAGTCTCTTTTTGTTGTTCAAGTGTCCTGGTAAGCTGTGATGGTTATGAGATAGATTATACACCGAAGAGCCATTACATTATGACCACCCTCCATCTATAGCAATGGGCTCTCCCATGTTTCATGGTTTCTCGCTCAGGAACAATGTTTTTATGAGGCTCATTAGAACCCATAATCCTCATAGAGCAATCCCTGACATCTGTAAGCTACTTGATCATAGTTGCAGACCAGGTTCACCCATTCATGGCAACAGTTTTTCCTGCAGGGGATGGTGTTTACCAACAGGATAATGCACCATGCCATTAAGGTCGAATCGTCATGGATTGTTTCGAGGAACAATCCAGTGACTTTCAAGTCATGTCTTGGCCCCCAAATTCACCTGACCTTAATCCAATAGAGAATTTGTGGTCCTACTTGGAAAACCAAATTCGTGCTGCCACGCTACCCTCTCGCAATGTGAGGGGATTGCAGGACCAGTTGGTGAGCGCTTGGTACCAGATACCTCAGACTACCTGTCAGCACCTTCTGGAATCAATGCCACGGCGGGTCCTAGCAGTTTTAAAGGCTAAAGGTGATCCTACATGTTATTGGCAGGGTGGTCATAATGTAATGGCTCTTCGGTGTATTTTATCCTAGAGTTGACATATCTTTGATTTTAAAAAATAAAATTTTCGAAACTAAATACCGTAACATTAACCTTTATCACTCCAAGTAATTTATCAAGCTGTTTGAACTTATGTAAACACAAAATTATCTAGCATTTGCGGTGAAATATTTTATATAATTTTAAAAATTCATTAAATAATGTGGTAACTAATTATTAAAATAAAAAAATTTATATAAGTTAACCCCTTGGGGACGGGTGATTCAGAAAAGCATTCGTTCAAAATCAGAATCAAGTTGTAATTAAATAAAAAACGGTTACTTAAATGCAGTCGTTGCTAATTTGACAGACTTACGTTGCTTTTACTTTAATTATTGTTAGTTTAATCATATATATAATCAATGTTAATTCAAAGTATAACTAAATAGTTTTATTTTGAACAAAGTAATGGTGAATTAAATAAATCAAACAATTATAACTCCGCCCACAAATAAACTGCTAAAGAACTACTTTGATTACCAGTTATATCTTTTTACCCTGATTGATACGGTTTTATGCTGTCACGTATTTGTGACAGTCGGCGCGAAAGGGTTAAAGAGGAGTGTCTTTTGATGTCAATGTAAAAGTTCAAAACATACTTAAAGTTTAAGCGAGCTAAATGGAAACTTTGCTTTTTAACTGTCTGAAATTATTACTTCTGACTTACCTATATTTCTATTATAGTGTAGCGAATAATAGAAATTGTTTACTTTGCTTAAGCATAAATGTCCTACCACTTTCTTTTACTATCTAGTGTTCTGGTTTGCATAAACTATTACATTTATGCCTGAGTCACAGGCACAAATCTCCTACCACTTTCTTTTAGCATGCACTGTTCTAGTTTTCATTAAAAAGTCACATTTATATGTACAGGTGGTTATCAAAATAATGGAAACACCCTAGATTTTTAAGGCTTGGGAATAGCTGTTCTGCCGTAAATGTTCTCTTTATGAAGGTATCTCCTAACTGTAATTGTTGACACTGGAGAATCCAGATGCTGATTGAGCTCTGCGGTCACTTTGGCTGCAGTTGTTTTCTTTTTAGACATTACAATCCGCTTCAATACCCGTCGGTCTCTTTCACTCAGCTTCTCCTTCCGTCCACTATTTTGCTTTGCTGAGCTTGTCTTTCAGCGCTGTGTGTATGCTGTCAAGTTTTTTGANCGAGGAACATTCCAGTGACTTTCAAGTCATGTCTTGGCCCCCAAATTCACCTGACCTTAATCCAATAGAGAATTTGTGGTCCTACTTGGAAAACCAAATTCGTGCTGTCACGCTACCCCCTCGCAATGTGAGGGAATTGCAAGACCAGTTGGTAAGCGCTTTGTTCCAGATACCTCTGATTACCTGTCAGCACCTTGTGGAATCAATGCCACGGCGGGTGCTAGCAGTTTTGAGGGCTAAAGGTGATCCTACATGTTATTAGCAGGGTGGTCATAATGTAATGGCACTTCGGTGTATTTTCTCCTGGAGTTGACATATCTTTGATTTAAAAAAATAAAACTTTTGAAACTAAATACCGTAACATTAATCTTTAGCACTCCAAGTAATTTATTAAGCTTTTTGAACTTACGTAAACACAGAATTTTCTGACATGAGCAATTTTCCGGCAATATTTTATATAATTTTAAAAATTCATTAAATAATGTGGTAACTAATTATTAAAATAAAAAAAACTATATAAGTTTAAGAGGAGTGTCTTTTGATGTCAGTGTAAAAGTTCAAAACATACTTAAAGTTTAAACGAGCTAAATGGAAACTTTGCTTTCTAACTGTCTGAAATTATTACTACTGACTTACCTATATTTCTATTATAGTGTAGCGAATAATAGAGCTATATAGTGTAGCTTGCTTAAGCATAAACGTCCTACCACTTTCTTCTACTATCTAGTGCTCTGGTTTGCATAACTTATTACATTTATGCCTATGTCACAGGCACCAATGTCCTACCACTTTCTTTTAGTATGCACTGTTCTAGTTTTCATTAAAAAGTCACATTTATATGTAAGTCGATAAAGCAGAAATGTCATACCAATTTCTTTTACTAAGCAGTGTTATGGTTTCCATAAAATGTTACACTTACTTTTATGTCACTTAAATACAAATGTTCTACCATTTCCTTTTACTATGTAGTTTTCTTGTTTCCATAAAATATCGCATTTACGGATTCATGATTTGCAATCTCTAGTTTAAAATAGAATTGTAATGAGTGAATAGTTGCAAATTTCTCTCGCATTTTGTGAGAGATTGTTATTTCAATTTTTTTTATATATATGTTCCTTGCTTATGTAACAATATTCAAATTTTAATACAACATTTTTGATTTCATAAATTTTTATTTTAAATGTTATTGATCATCATGACGTACGTAGAATTCAAATTATTTGACAATAATAGGTCAAATTATAAAGTGCTCGTTTCTCAAAACTCCTTCAAAATAATTAGATTATTTTGTGACATAAACTTGCAGCAAAGTTTCTGTCATGAAATAAATTTTTAGGGGTTTGTAAATTTGCCATAAAGTGATAAAAATTTTCCCCTAGATTGGTAACTAACTACATAAATAGACAATATTACAAAAATAATTATAATAATAAAAAGTTACAATTAACAGAAATTTGACGTCTATTAATAGAAATCTGACGTCTAATAAGTAATTATAAAAATAGTTATCTGAACGTAATTCTAGGGGTTGGTAAATAATGAAAATACCTACTTACTTGAACGATATGTTAATTACCTCGTGAATAACTGCGAATAATTAAGAGAAAAAAAACTTTTTTTGCGTTGTTTCTTTATTACTGTTATTATTAAATATTATGGGGCAATAATATTATCTATACATTTATATATTTATAAAATATGTATGTATTACTTTCAAAATTCTAATAAAATGCGTAAATTTACAAAACAAATGTTGTATGTAATTATTTTGATGCGATTATAAATCCTTCCTCTGTAGCCGTCTGTTAATTGTACTGTATATTCTTACATTTCATCGAATCTCATGTGTATAAAGTTCTTTTCATTTTCAATCCATTAATAATGTCTGTAATAAATAAAAATAAATTTGTTAGTTTTTCAAAATGGATTAGTTCTTTCTGGTGTATTTTCTGTACGTTTATCTTTTGCAGGATGATAATTCGAATGATATATTAATTCTGCCTACTTGGTAAGTAAACAAAGTCATGATTGCCAACTCGTTAGCCTTTTTTCTCAAAAAGTTTAAATCGAAACAAACTCCAGATACTTTCGTTTTTAAATTCTTGATGTATTTATAGACCGAACCGATGTAATGTATTCTCAGCAATATTTGCTTAACTGAAAATCTATTGCTACCACATTATATTTTAAAAAGAAATTATAATTATATTAGTTTTAATATCCATGACGCCGACAACTCAGTCAAGCCATCATTTTATTTCTACTTAGAATCATCATCCTACTATTCACCTTAAGGAACTACCTCATTGAACTTATCACATGATGAAGAGGTAAAGGGCCCTATGGCCTCAGGCACCTCGACCAGACCAGACCAACACATATATGTCTTCTGGCACAAATGGCAATTATCTTCCAAACGATTCACATAAATGAATCGATTCAGTAAATTAACGAATTTATAAATGTATTCTTTTTTTTATTTAATGTGTTAATACAATAGAGGAGTCGTTATAAGTTGAAAGTCACACAAATTACTTTAGACTGTTTTAGTTTTTGAATTTTATGTAGTTGATTTAGGTCAGCGGTTCCCAGTATTTTATGGCTACGAAATCCTAAATAATTAACCTTTTTACTGTGGAACCCCCGACTTTATAAATAAAGCTTTTTAAGGTAATAGTGAACATTATAGCCTTTTAAAGACTATTTTAGAAATATTTAATTAAAGGAATGAAGAATTTTCATCGTTTTATCATTAATATCCGAAAGTCAAATTTCCAGTTCTTGTGCTGCTATAGTCTGATAAAGTAGTAGTGATATAGTTTAGTCTGATTAAGAATTTGTTTTTAGTGTTTAAGTTGAAAATAAATAATTTGAAATAAATAAGTTCAAATAAGCCGAATTATGGTTTACTTCGAAATGAGAATTTTGAAAAACTGTTACAAACGTTGAAAATGGTTATTATGGAAACTACTTTATTAAAGTAGATAATTATTTTGATCGGAAAAGCGTGCTGAGAAATACTATTGCAATATTTTCTGAATGCCTACCCCTTTCATAATTTATTTATTATATTGTTATTAGAAATATTATATTTTTTTTCAAAAAATGCCATTTCTATTTTATTGGCATTTTCTTAGAATTAATTTCATAAAGGCAACCAAAATATAAACTATAGATTATAACGAAGACTATAGAATGTAACTATAGATTGTAACGAAACACAATCTGAGGTTTTGAAA